TAGCGAAAATTCCTATTCTTTCCCAAAAATATTATTCTAGATTTATTTCACCCAATATCATTTTTTCTTCAAATTTCCTTGAAAAAAATAATCTCAACACGGCTCAGTCGATTGCATAACTATATTTATTGAATGATAAAAAAAGCATTTTGTTTCAAACAAGAGCTTCAAAATACCAACGTCTTGGGTAAAAAATCCCCATATACGAAAAATTAATAGGAAATCTCCCCGTTGAAAAATTAAAAATATCTCACAATAGAAAAATTCAAAGTGTCTCCACCTAGGAAAAATTCAAAATAAATCCCACCACTGTCACCATTTGTAACCCCTCGTTTTGAAACGAGACTATATTTATCTGATGATATCTGATGTTAGATGTTGACTGCAGAAGTGATCGCCCTACCAATGTTTGGCTTAGCTTTTCCTTCTCAAATAGGCATATTTCAGAATATAATTTTTTTCACCTAAGTCCTTCCAGGCGCTTTGTCGGGATATGCCAATGATACCTATTACACGAACTTTTCCTGTGAGATATGAATATACTACGTTTACATTTTCCCCTGTTTCCCCTACCAGTATAATTACCGGCAATAATACACTGTATTCAAACTTAATAAGTATAATAAAAATCAGGAAATGGGAACGTTACAAACGACAAAATAAACAGAAAAAAAAACAAACCACTAAACGGAACACATTAACCTAGCCAGATCCTAAGAAAATGCTTAACCGGCATATTCATAAACATGCCTTTCATTCTGCAACTCTATGTGAGTGGAGCTATTCAAATAAATGTTCACCCACAGTATTTCAATAAAAGTATATGGTTAGCAGCCAGACGAAAAAACCCTAAAACTTTCTTACTTTTCTCTCTATTACTCTACTACTCTCTTTCTCCGTTCAGCTGCAGATAGCAGGTAATCCTTTTTTTGTTTTACTGAAATCAACACAAGACACCANAGGTAATCCTTTTTTTTGTTTTACTGAAATCAACACAAGACACCAAAACTGAATTGCACTCAGTTGAACTGGCAACCAAAAAGGAAAAGAGAGAAAAACAGGGTTTTCCCGAACTAACAAAAGTACCTCTTTTATCACACTATTCGAATAACTCGCGATTGAACTCTCGTTCGCCCCTTTCTTCCAGATACTTTATTGGTTTTTTGACTTTATCTCCCCAAAAAAACTCACCCCTGATTTTTTTTTCTCAACTCGACCTTTCGATGACCCAATACCACAGAAGGACACCTCTCGACTTCCCACTCACTCGCGTTCCATTTTCCTCGTTCTTTCTACCTTGAAACTGGTTTTCCTTAGAATGAAAAGAACATACTCAAATACACAAAACAAAATCACCAATAAAATAGTTAAAACCGATCGGCCGATTTTCAATTTTTCTTCTTTTTCCTCGTTCTTTCTATCTTGAAACTGGTTTTCCTTAGAATAAAGTGTTTCAATTTGTTGCTCATCAGGAGGGTACTCAAATACATACCGAGAATCAGCAACAAAATAGTTGGCCTTGATCGGCCGATTTTCAATATTTTTTTTAATTCTTCCTGTTCTTGCTATCTTGAAACTGGTATTTTCTGGAATACGTAGTACTATGAATGTATTGCTCACTAGGAGGGTACTCAAATACACCTTGAGTATCAGCAACAAAATAAGTGTAACGGATCGGCCGATTTTTAATTTTTTTTTTCATTTTCCTCATTCTTGATATCTTGATTTTCAATATTTTTTTAAAGTCTCCTTGTTCTTGCTATCTTGAAACCTGTTTTTTCTGGAATACAGAGTATTATGAATTTGTTGCTCACCTGGAGCATACTCAGATACATCTTGAGTATCAGCAACAAAATAGTTGATACTGATAAGTCGAGATCTAATGAAAACTTTATTTTTGTAAAACGGGGTGAAACCAATAACTTCCCGATTTTTCGAAAATCTTTGATTTTCTTAGCGGGAAGTTAAAAAATAAAAAAACTGTTTAATTAAATAATACACAAGTTCAAACGGAAATAAGAATAATGTAAAGGCAATTTGTATTAAATCGCCGAGAGCTAATTCGTGTTACAGTACATAAAGCGCGTATAAAACCTATTAGCTTTTTGAAAGTAAAAATTATTCATCGGAGAATCATAGTACTTATTATATGGAAACACTGTAGTTACAAAAATGGATAGGTGAACTGCGACTTTTTCATTTCAGATTCTAACAAGGTGAATAAGTACTCTTCACAACAGCAATTGCGTCAAAAATATTTTAATTCAAGAGGAAGTCAGTTCCAAGATGAAAGCAAAAAAAATTAAAAAAAAAATTGCAAAAATCAGCCCATTGGTTCTATTCCTTTTGTTGTTGGTTCGTCATGTATATCTTTGAGTACTATCAATTCGGCAAAAAATGTACAGCTCTTTTCATTCATGAAACAAATCAGTTTCAAGATAGCAAAATTAAGAAAATTAAAGAAAAAATAAAAATATCATCNTTCGGGTACTGAATTTAATATCGATATATCAACACTCTAGTAGTTATGACTTGTCTAATAGATTAATTGACACGGTATAGTCAAATATCGGTATAAATAACACAGTTTCTTTTCTACAAATGATTCTTACCCCTGAAGCTAATTCGTTTGTGCTTTTCTCTTTTACTGTCGCTCCTGGTTAGTGGTTTAATAACTTCTTCCGATTTAGAAATAATTTCTCCTATCGAAACTTCTTCATCATTTAGATTCTGCTTAGTGTCCCCATTGTTTGTAGGTTCTTTTGAAGTTTCATGTGGTATTTTTCCATTTTGGTTTACAGACTTTTTGTCATCTTCAGACTGAAAGTACAATATTATTTTTTCAGTGATGAATGTAAAAAAAATAAATCTCACAGTTTTGTTGTTTTCTTGTAGAAGTGTGGCCTGTTGTTTTGATAACAAAATACTAGCATCCGTTTCGAATTCCTTTCGCTCTCTATATTTCTTTTCGGTTATGAATACATGGTAGGTGCAACAAATCACAACCAATACAAAAAATGATGACAGAATTATAACAATTAGTTTTTCTTTTCCATCTTCCTCTTCAGTAGTAGCAGAGTATATTGAGGTATAAAGAATCCTCTGCGGTGCATCCTGAACCCATGTCTTATCTGTACCCTGAAAAATCATTTCAATTTATGACTCAACCTATGAAACTATTTGAAAACTGACCTGACTTATGTTAAGATTTGTTGTCCCTGGAGTTTTTTCATGGATTTTATCGAAGTCAGAGCTGCACTGAGCACTTCTCACGCCATGCTGGTTTGAAACATTGACCTTCTCTGTTCCAGTTTTTGTAAAGAGCATATATTCTTCCAAAGGTTTCATAACATGTTCATTCACCTCAATAAATATATCTCTACGAGTTTAATTTTTTTTTGTTTTTATATAACTGTATGGCTTTATATAATTTGTTATTATATGAAGTCATTCCTTTTTTTTCATGTCGTTTTGTGTTGGTGTTGTCTCGGAAATTTGGTTGTTGCAATGTTTTCTGTTTGTTTTAATATGTGTCTAATATGTATGATAGTTTTGAAAATAGTAATATTGTCAACACCAACAAGCTACTTCTCGAGACCCCTGAAGAAGAATTGTTTTTTAAAGAAAATTTGATCCTGTTACCCAACCAACCTTTTTTCAGAAAAATTATTGAATCACTAAAATAGTTAACTGTATACAGTGTCATCCCCAAAGTATGCACCATTATTAAGGGTTTTTCGACAAAATGTTATCCGTGATGAAATATTGTGCATCCCCTAAAACTAAACATGCACCAACAATATACAGTAAAACACACGTAATATACGAGGAGTCTTCAAATATTTGATTTTTAAACAAGAGTAAAGTACTCTTATTTTGAAAAATCTCGGGAAATATTATTTGAAAAAGTTGTTCGACATTGGAAAATACATTCAGATTTAAAGTCACGACTATCTAAGCAAAGTTTTTTTTACCCGTTTTTTTTTAAATGGGGACTAGGAAAAAAAATGCTAAAACGATAAATAGACAGCATTCTGTATACGACGATTTATTTCAAAAGCCTATAATATTACGAATTACACAACTATGGTGTTAACCACGGTCAATTTTTTGAAGAGTAAAATAATTATCAAAAATTTTGGTGCAGTTATATATTTTTTTATTAACACAGAAAATTACTTAAAATTAAACTGTATTGTAACAAGAACTTAATACTCAATAATATCAAATCACAAAACATCATCAGATATCATTCATAGATATCCTTCATA